CCACAACCGAATGGACACCTTCTGCTTAGGCTGAGTATATTGAGAAGAAAAGGGGAGAGAGAAGGCATGTTCTCTGTGGGAACAAAGAAGGGGAGATTTCTTTAAGGGGAGGGGAAAATTGATAATGGGAAGACATTTGTGTTAAATTTTGTAGGGTGCTAGCAAATTTGGGACCCCTTACATTGCCGGTGGCTGTTTTTATTTGGTGCATATTGCATGATCCAGTCTAGGCAGTTGAGCATAATTTCAAAGAACAGGTGGTGATTTCTCTCCTTAGCGGATAGTGTGGCTTTGGGGTAAGTGTATTTATTTCAAAGCCTTCTTGGGGTAAAAATTAAAGGCATTCATAAAATACGTAAGGTGCAGCACTGCCTATATTTTTGGTCCCAGGGGACAATACAAGATAACCTCAAACATACTAGGGATGATAGGAAATGTACAAAAAGTAGGAAACACTTATTTAAATCTATCAGCTGTGTTCCATTACTGAAAAGTGAAAGGTTTGAGCTTCTGAGAAGTCTGATTTTGTTGTCTAATAGCAGGAAGTTCTGTTAACCAGAAGTACACAAAATTTCTTGGGACCTGAGCTCTAAGGGAAGTTGTTACAGATGGTTCTGGAACATGCAAAAATTAACCTAGACAAAGACCTTATACCCTTGGGGCGCCTGGGTGGCTCAGTTGTTAAGCGTCTGCCTTCGGCTCAGGTCCTGATGCCAGGGTCCTGGGATCGAGCCCCGGATCGGGCTCCCTGCTCAGCGGGAAGCCTGCTTCTCCCTCTCCCACTGCTTGCGTTCCCTCTCTCACTGTGTCTCTCTGTCAAATAAATAAATAAAATCTTTTAAAAAAAATACCTTATACCCTTCACAAAAATTAACTCAAAATGGACCATAGACCTAAATGTAAAATGCAAAACTATAAAAGGAGATAACATAGGAGAAAATTTGGAGGGCTGTGGCTTTGGCAATGATTCTTTAAATGCAATACCACGAGCAGGATACATGAAAGAAAGAATTGATAAGCTGGATTTCATTAAAATTAAAATGTTCTGCTCTGTGAAAGTGTCAAGAGAATTAGCAGACAAGCCACAGACTGGGAAAACATATTTGCAAAAGATATATCAGATAAAGGACTGTTGTATAAACTTACAAAGAACTCTTAAAACTCAACAATAAGAACACAAAAAATTTGATTAAAAATGGGCCAAGGGGAACCTGGGTGGCTCAGTCGTTGGGCGTCTGCCTTTGGCTCAGGTAATGATCCCAGGGTCCTGGGATCGAGCCCTGCATCAGGCTCCTTGCTCCACGGGAAGCCTGCTTCTCCTTTTCCCACTCCCCCTGATTGTGTTCCCTCTCTCGCTCTGTCTCTCTCTGTCAAATTAAAAAAAAAAAAAATCTTACAAAAAAAATGGGCCAAATACCTTAATAGACACCTCACCAAAGAAGATCTACAGATGGAAAATAAGCATATGAAAAGATATTCCACATCATTTGTCGATAGGGAAATGCAAATTGAAACAACCTTGAGATACCACTACACACTGATTAGAATGGTCTAAATCCAGAACACTGACAACACCAAATGCTAGTGAGGATGTGGACCAACAAGAAATTATCATTCATTGTTGATGGGAATGCAAAATGGTACAGCCACTTTGGAAGACAGTTTGGCAGTTTCTTACAAAATTAAACCTCCTCTTATCATATGATCCAGTAACTATACTCCTTAGTATACCCAAAGGAGCTGAAAACATGTCCACACAAGAACCTGCACACTGTTTATGGCAGCTTTATTCATAATTGTCAAAATCTGGAAGCAAATAAGATGTCCTTCAATAGATGAATGGATAAACTGTGGTACATCCAGACAATGGAATATTATTCAGTGTTAAAAAAAGTGAGCTGTCACACCATGAAAAGAGATGGAGGAAACTTAAATGCATGCTAGTAAGTGAAAGAAGCCAATCTGAAAAGGCTACATAGAATATGATTCCAACCATCTGACATTCTGAAAAAGGCAAAACTATGGAGACAGTAAAAAGATCAGTGGTTTCCAGGGATTAAGGGGGAGGGAGGGATGAACAGGCAGAGCACAGAGGATTTTTAGGGCAGTGAAACTACTCTGTATGATACTTCAGTGTTAGATACATGTTATTATACTTTTGTGGAAATCCATAGAATGTCCAACACCAAGGGCAACTCATAATGCAAGCTGTGGACTCTGGGTGATATGTCAATGTAGGTTCATCAACTGTAACAAATGTATCACTCTGGTGAGGGATGTTTGAGAATGGGGAAAGCTATGCATATGTGGGGGCTGGGAATATACATGAAATCTCTGTACCTTATGCTCAACTTTGCTATGAATGTAAAACTGTTTTAAAAAGTAAAGTCTATTAAAATATTATAATCAAAGCATCTGAGTTATAAAGCCAACAAATATTTAGATAAAAAATTGAAGTCTGGGAGAGTCTGGACTTAACCAACTTCAACCAATTTAAGAAAAACATGCTGAGAATGTTAGCAACTTGTTTTGCTTTTATCTTCTCTGTAATAATAAAAACAGAGCTGCTCATTTCCTGCAGCTTCTTTTCCCATTAGTAGAACTTTATGTCAGGCCACTTAAATGGTACTCAAGATGTAGCCTGCTTTTCTAGTGGAGGGAACAAATGTAGCTGACCTCAGGTCTGTTCCTCTTGTGCTTGCACCTTGCCCATGTGTGGTGACACCAGGCCCAACAGCTTCTACCAGAAGTCCCTCCCCTCTAAGCTCTGGCTGAGCCTTGAGTCAGGGAACTCAGCAAAGAAAACAATTAATGTAAAAGACATCAGAAATGCTTTGTGGAGCATCCGATGCCTGCAGTGTGCTTCATACTTAGCCTCTAACAGCTCTAGAGTTACAGGAAAAACACTTGAGATGGAATTATTTTGGTCTATTGTTTTATCATTGTTTCTTAGTAAAGTTATTTCTTAAACTCTTAAAACTGCTTATAAGCTAATAATGAGGGGAATTATTCTGTACCATGCCTGAGGTGGAGTAGGGGTGAGGGTGGGGAGTTGGAGGATGAGGGGAAGGAGGAACCAAGGGCTGGTTCCCTATATTCATTCATTCTGTAAATTCAGGCATCCGTTAGTGAAGAAAGGCAAGTTTTCTGTTTCTTTCTAGAAAGGGGAAATACAGGCAATAAAGAAACAGATTACTTAACAGGATGATGTTCGAGAAAAAATAGGATGATATGATGGGCGTGAGGTGGGGACTGGGAGGCTGAGGATTGGGGCAGGGGTATTTTATTAAGTGAGCAGGGAAGATCACTGAGCAGGCAGAGAACTGAATGAGGTGAGGAAGCCAGTTTTGAGGGTCCCTGGCTAAAAGGTGTGGTCCAGTCTTAGAAAGGGCCCCTCTGCTTTCTCTGAAGAACTCATTTATATACTGAAGTGGCAGAACAGGTTATTTTCTTCCTTTATTGCCTCCTTCTTGATGTGAGACAGAAATCCATCCCTTCTTTGGGGCTTGGTACCTGGTAAATCAGACTGATGCTTCTCAAGGGTTCAGAGAGACAAATTCTTGGCGTATATTGAGACCATATATATATATATGCCATTCTGAGCTAAGGAATAGGATAAGTGCCTTGGGCTTCAAAGGGGAGGGCAATTCACAGGCAATAAGGGAGCAGATGATGCGTAATTAGATGTTTGCTCTGCTATACAGATGTGTCAGATAAAATTTATCACTGGTAATAACTCTTATTCTAGGAAAGACACCCAATTTAGATACTTCTAGGCAGTTGAGCGAGGAGCAAAAGTTTCTCTGGAGTCCTCAGGGTCTGGATTGCTTTCAGCTCAAAATAGTCCACCTGATAAAGTGGCACATTTTGGGGACACCTATTCTGAATCCCTTCATTAGACAGCAAGGATTGCCAGGTCTCTGCGGACATACTTTTGTGTGCGGGGCCAGGTCCATCGTGGGATGGTAAGCCATCCAAAACTGTCTGGTGCAGAACAACGTCTAAGGTTGGGAGTTCTAAACTTGCAGTCCTGGGCCGTCAGCTCTAATGATAAGATTTCAGCGTGTAACAGCACTCCAACTGTCTAGGGTTAACTTGCTTCATGCTTATGCACTCCTTGCTTGCCAACCTAAGTCCCTAGGTTTATAGCAGAACCAGACTACCTTCCTTAGATTTGCAGGCCACTGGCCTTGAGGAATGAAGGTCCAGAAGATAAGGCCTGACTACATTCGAAAACAGATGCCACTGACGCCAGCAAGTCTGTTTATGGTCATGTCCACATACGACGACTAGCTGCCTGGGCAGCGACTTCTCTGCACGTAGCCCCCTCCCCTTTTTCAATGCCTTCCCCTTTAAAACTCTCTGGCTTTGCCTGATGGGGAAGATGGTCTTTGAGACGTTAGTCTACCATCTTCCCAGGTTGCCGGCATCCAGAATAAAGTAACTTTTCTTTTCCCACCATCACTTGTCTCTCGAATGATTTTCCAGCGGGGAGCAGCTGAACCTGAGTTCAGAACTCGTTTTCTGTCCAATAACAAGCCCGCCAAACCGCATGTGCATTTCGCTGGGGAGTGTCTACAGAAGTCACTCTCAAAAGGGGGCGACGTCTCCAGAAAAGCGACTGGCCTAAGGACTCGTCCACGGCCATGTTCTTAGTTCTGGAAAAAAACGACAGGTTCAGCTCTACCACCCCCTTCTCGCTTGCGAGGGCAGACAGAAGTATCCGGGGAACCCACCCAAAGGTAGCTTGAACACCCCGGCTGGGCGTCACAATCAGGTTCGGTTCTTGGCTCAGTCCTCACGGTCCAGCGCGCCCAAGCCCGTCGCGGCCTATTGCGCGCCAGTCGCTCAGCATTGTGGGACTGGTAGTCCCGGCTGGTGCGTGGGTTAGGCCTGCCGAAGCCATAGAACTACACTTCCCAGCAAGGACCCCCGCAGTAGCCGGCGCGGGCCGTATGCGTCAGCCACCAGATTTCCGGACAAGCCAGGGGCGGGACCGTGGCGGAGGCTGGAGCTTGGCGTCGGGATGCAGCGCCCCGGGCCCTTCAGCACCCTCTACGGGCGGGTCCTGGCCCCGCTGCCCGGGCGGGCCGGGGGCGCGGCCTCTGGCGGAGGCGGGAACAGCTGGGGCGTCCTGGGTTCCCACGTGCAGCCTCCCGGGCGCGCGCAGTCTGGTACCCGCGCCGGCGTCGGTAGCACAGGTACCTACGGCGGGGACGCCAACAGCGCCTGCCCGGCCCCCTCCGCGATGTCCAAGGCCGAGGAGGCCAAGAAGCTGGCGGGACGCGCGGCCGTGGAGAACCACGTGAGGGTGAGCAGCTCCGGGCGTGGGGCTCCCGTGCTCTGCGTGATGGGCTCGTGTTGCGTGTTCCGGGTACTGCCGGAGCCGGGGCGGGGGCTGCGTGAGAGGGGAGAGGGTGTACACTGTACCCGGGTTTAGATCCCCCCTTTTCCGTGCTCCTTAAAGGTCTTTTACATGTGGGATCGATTGGGGGTGAGATTCCTAAAAGTTGAGCTTTCTAAAGACTCCTTGTCCGGCCGGGTAACAGTTTGCAAAGTGGAGTGTGGTGGTGTCTGATGTGTTTGGAGTGGCGCTGGAAGGGACTTGCCGTGCGGCTGGCTTCCTTATTAACAAGTATAAAATGGTGAGTTCTGGAGCTGCCAAGAGATCTTCACTTCTCTTTACTGTGCTGGGAAGCCGGTGGAGAGCTGGTTTGAAAATTGCTTTGAAATTTTACTCCAAGGAAGTTCTTGGCTTGGCGCGTGTACGGTCCTGAGTGTACTCATTAGTGAAAGAGAGCGAAAGAGGGATTTTAAAACTTCCTGCCTTTGACAGGGGTGGGTGGACAATGGGATTCTGGAGGAATCTATTCTTTAAGGTTGGGGCGCAGAGATAAGATTTAGCTGTTACCGGTGAGGTCGTGGCCCCAGTTAAGTGGTGGGTGTGGTGCTGTTTAGTGGAGTCTCTTAACCTGAGTGGATTTGCTGTCATCAATCAAGTTAATTATCTTAATTATGGTACTTCCGTCTAGCCAAGTGGAGTATCTCTGCCCTTTGGTGGAGTTTCCTTGACTTTGTTGGCCTTTTGTCTCTCTCTTCTGTTTCTTAGAAAGTGGTTTCTGATTCCCTTTCTCCTCTCGTGATAGTTCTTTACATTTGTTAATGCTTTCATGTACAGAGTACTTTGCTACGATGGTGTTTGATCCTCAAATAGATTGGCTAAATGGGAGGGACCAGTGTGGTAACCTGTGGATCAGCATGTTCTGTAGATCCTCCAGAACCCAAACTGGGTGACCCCTGTTCCAGTGCCCTTCCACCAGTTCCATAGCTGCTCTGTTCTGGTGTAGTTTGTTCCAGTCTGGTTAGCAGTGGAGTTTTCTGTGGGAATTCACAGAGATAACGCAGAATGTGTAGTCCGGCTCTACTTTTAGGATTCAGTGCCTCAGCTACAAAATTGGGACGGTAAGCTGAAATTTTAAAATGCCTGTATAAAGTGAATAATTAATAGATAAGTAAATGAAATCTGTACAATTAGAGAAGCCCCATATCTTAGTATTCTTATTAACCTATTAACATTTGGTGGCATAAGTCTTTCTGACTTTCATCTTATAATGTATTTGCTTCCATAAAAATCTTCAAGCCCCCACCTCTGGCTGGAGCTACAAAACACTGGACTCCAGCTACATTATTCTGTGAAATTACCAGGTGATCGTGGGGAGATCTTCTTTGGCCTTTTGGGGGCAACCTCACCCCAATCTCAGTTGCACCTGCTTTCCCTACCAAACTTATTCCTGAGATGCTAACATTACCTGACTTTTGTATTTTCTACTCTTAAACGTTGATTTATTCATTTCATTCATTTACCAGGTATTTGATGGCCTAATATGTGTCAGGCAGTTGGTGTGGTGGCCAGAAATGTGGCTACAGGGAGAGGGAAAGTCAGGTCCTGAATACTTTGCAAACAGGATAATTAATTCAAACCTGTACATTTATTGAACATAGTCATGTGTCTAATTGTCAAGGCTTAGCTAGCTGCCCTCTCCAGGGCGGTATCCTTTGCACCATCTAAGCCATGTGTCATCTAGCGCTTTGTGTCTTGAAATTGTTTACTCGTCTAAGTTTATGGAGATGGTCATGTGCAAGGTTCTGTTGGTTCCACCTTCGGAATGTTGTTAGACCTGACCCTTCCCTTTGACTTATCTTCTTTCCTAGTTGAGGCTCTCCGCATGGCCAGAGGTTTGCAGTTGCCCTTATCTTGTCCCCTCTGCCAACCTTCCAAGTGATGCATTATCATCTTCTGTATTTCTCATCTATTGTCACAGTGGCCCTCAGGTGGCCTCATCCTAATGTCCACATACCATATCTGAAGTATCTGTTGCGAGCCAGGTACTGGGCCAGGTGGAGAGGATACACAGATGAGAGGCTGTGGTTCTTCTCCTGAAGCCCACAGTCTTGTGTCCTTCTGTAATCCTTTCTTCTCCATGTACCAGAACATTGGAAAATATATACTGGCATATAGTGTGCATTTTAATATCATTACACTCTACTTAGAATGCTCTTTCTTGTCCTCTGACCTTGCTGGTTAAAATCATATGTGTCCTTTAGAGTTTGATTCAAAGACCCTTTTCTCCTTTCAGTTTTTCCTTAGTCTCCTAAGTCGGGCGAGATCTCTTTGATTTTGTAGCACTTTATACCTCTTAGGTGCTTTATGGTGTCTTATGTTCTAGTCATCTATATGTTTATCTCTCCTATCCCCCTAAAGAGTAAGCTCCTAGTGGATAGTTAACCTTATCTTCACTCAGTGTTGGTCACAGTGGGGCCTGCCTGGTAAGTGTTTGTTGAGTTGTATGGAGTGTAGACGCAAATACGGAGGTTGTAAGGTTACTGGTGGCCCTTTGCTTAGACTCTCTGGACTGTAGGGTTTCCAATTGCCTAGCCCATTGGTGTTCCATTGTGGTGATCACTTCCACATCTGGATGGATAGAAAACTTGGCGAGTTTGCTGCTGAATCCTTTGGGTAGCCACTCTGAACTTAGATCTGCCTGTTTCTGGGAGTATGGCCACCCAGGGTAGGTTACCATGCAGGGCCGTGTTCTCCTGAAGGTCTGTAGCTTCCTTTGTTCTCATTGTTTTTAGACAGACTTAGCTTGAAGAAGTTGGTGAGTAGTGACTCCAGTTGGTCAGCAGAAGTATTTCCAAGTTAACCTACTCAACACAGTGAGTGAAGTTCCGATGTTGCATGTATGACATGTGATTTAGTATTGCCCATCAGAAGGGGCCTGCTTCTCCAGCATAGTTTGCTTGGCAGCTGTCTGCTATTGGGCCACCTCACAGGCAGCCTTCGGCTATCTCTGTTTTGCTTTGGCTAGGACACTGATTCCTGGGCCAATCATTTGATTCCAAGGTAGGAGGACCATGTGGTTGAAGAGCTTTGGGCCTGGCAGGTCCTTGCAATTTCCTGGCCTCCTCCAGGAGTCAAGGGAAGAGCCTTTCATAGAGCTTGTCTGACTCACCAAAGTTATTTGAGTGCCACCTGCCTGCTGGGAGCCTGTGGGTGACATGAGTGTATGGTAATGAGAATTCTGGCAGAGTACGGTAGAGCTAGAGCTATGGGCTTCAGATCAGGTGTGAGAGTCAGGTTGAGCCTACCTAGGCATTATAAATTAAGTACTTTTCTCATTACTTGAAGCTTTTTACATATTCACATATTTAGCTATTTTGAAAATTTTGACATACCATTCACTTGTCTGGAAGACCTTGCTGTTAAGGTTTGCCTAGGTAGCTAAATGACTACTGGATGCATTGCATTCTTGAGGGCATCATTGAAGGTGGAATTCTGACCTAGAACAAGCTCTGCTCTGAGGCTCCTTGATCTGTTTGATGACTTGGGAACTATGAGCTAGTCAAAGTGATTTCCATCAGCTTTCACACAGAGGCTGATGGGTAAAGCCCTCTGTAGATAGGGGAGGCCCAGCTAGAAGTGCTTTAGTTGCTGGGGTGTTAGCATTTGATTTCTTTTTTGTAGCTCCCTTTGCTTGTTGGCCATTCTTTCTAATCTTTTATAGTTTGAGATGTAGTCTTGCTATGAGAAGGACCATACCAGATATGGGCCCAGGGGCTGGCATTGGGTATTCCTGTGGCCTTTGTCCTGTGTGAAGTGAGGGATGTTGGCTGTAGCTCTCAGTTTGTCCTGACTTGCCCCCAGGACTTTTCTTTCTCCTATGAAATATTAAAGAACAAAATTCAACGGAGTAAATCCTCAAAATCTGTTGGCTTTATTCAATGATTCATGAATCAGGCAGCATCCAACCTAGCACACAGAAGGGCGCTCTAAGGAGCTACACAAAATGAAAGACTTTTATAGCCAGAAGGGGCAGGAACTAAGAAGTTGTACTAGGCATGAAAGCAGGTTGATTATTAGAAGGTCATTTTCCTTTAGGGGATGGTAGGGGTCTCTCAGGCACATTACCTAGCTAGTGTTGATCAGACAGTTCCTGATTGACTAGCTTAAGATTCCATTTGGGGGGGAGCTGAAACTGTAATTAAGTCCAGTCTTGGTTTGGTGACCTGGGGCTTAGCATAAGGACTCCATCTGGGGCCTTTTTTTTTTTTTTTGAGTAAAATGATAGAAGTTTATTAAGTGAAGATACAGAAAAAGCTCTCAAGAGTGAGAGGGGTCCCAACAGGGCTGCCTTTTTTTTGTTTTGTTTTGTTTTTTTAACACTCCCTGCTTCCTGTCAGGCAAAAGATTTGGCTTACTTACAATGTGCAGTTTAAGCTGGCTTTACAAAAATGGTCTGTAGGTGAGTACTGAAAGATTTCTGGCCCACCCAGGGACAGTCAGAAAGGAAAAGGCCCACGAAAAACACAGAGCCTACTTACACCCCAAGAGTGAAAAGCAGAGTTTTCTGGCTTCAGTGGCGTTTCACGTAAGCTTAATATCTAGATGGCAGGGGACTGACTACAGGCACCTTCAGGCTGGTGGCATAACAGGGAAACCTCGGGGGGACATCAAGCCCACCATCTAGAGCCTCCCTGAAGTCAGCAGAAGGGGGGAAAGCCTGAAGTAACCTTGAAAGTTACCTTTTTTTTAGGGTGATGCAGGCTGGCCAGGTCTGAGGAACCAGAGGGGGTCCCACAGGACCAGCCAAGAGGGTCTTGGCTTCACACAAGATCGAAATCAAACTCGAGCCATTAGGAAGTGAGAGCAGAGTTTATTGAATAGCGTGAGAGAGTATAGCAGATGGAGTGTCTGGAGACTCAGGAAGGAGTCTCGTCTTTGCTTGGGGGCTGGGGTTTTTAATTGAGGACAGTGGCCTGGTGTACGTGCCTCTCAGGCATCTAGGAACTGGTCAAAACAAGGTTGAGTGCTCAGGTGTCTTCCATCTTATGCCCTGGAGCCAGGGGTCTTGGCATCAAAGTGACTGGAGTCAGGGTCTTGGAAAACCGTTCATGATGACCCCACCTAGTCACTCCTTAGATGTTATCTGTTGTGCTGGAAGACTCTAAAGGTATCTTTAACTCCTTGACCTTTACAAGTAGGACATATGTTATTGATACTGTAAGGTGTGTTTAGGGTGGGGGTGCAGGTCCTCGCAAGAATGGAAGCAGGAAAAGGAGCAAAAAAGCAGTTTGTTTGTTTTTTTTATGGGGGTCTCTTCAGTTTCCCTGTGTCAAGGGGATGGCAGAGGTTTTGAAATACCAAACCACATCAGCATTATGACCAGTTGATGCCAGGAGGTCCCTGTTTTGCCCAAGCCTGCCTCAGAATATGGGAAGAGGGTGAGGCTTAGTTAGGATTATGAGAAAGAGTCTTTATCTGCAGTAGGGACAATGTGTAAGAGATAGAGAGTACTTGTGAGTACAAGGGACAAAAAACAGGCATCATACTACTGAGCCTGACATCTTAAGAAAGGGGGCAAGTCCCTAAGCAGACTAGGGACCCAGCCAAGGTCAGTTAGACCACAAACTGCAAAACAGGGTCAGGGTACTACATTTAGGAACTAACGTGGAGCTCACTCAGTTCCTAAGCAACTTCCTGCCAGTCTAAGGCAAAAGAGCTAAAAACCAAAGCAGCAGCTACCATTTATTTAGCACCTACCAAGAAGATTTATACATGTTAATTTAAGTCAGATCTCACAACAACCCCTTGTAACCTCAAGACCAGTTATCCCCCCTCTAAAGATTTTATTTATCTGAGAGAGAGCGAGAGAGCTTGTGCCCGTGTGGGCACGGCAGGAGGTGGGGGAGGGAGAAGCAGACTCCCCACTGAGCAGAACCCTGAGATCATGATCTGAGCTGAAGGCCAACTGAGCCACCCAGGTGTCCCTCCCCACTTTAGAGAAGAATTCAACCTTTTAAGGAAACATTTAAGACTTGGAAGTGAGCAAGAGAGATTGTTGGATATCCTTTCATTGGAGTGCTGGAGCTTGCAGGTGTGTGCCTTAGCCTTCCAAGTAGGCCTGTCACAACTCTGTAGGGAGAGACTTTTAATTTTAGAACACTTCTAACAGTGCAGATAATTTCTGTCCATAGAAATGCAAATTAATCGTGTTTTATGAGATTCAACTGATTATTACCCTAAAGATCTTGTAAATTCATTTGAACATTTTTTTTTTAAGATTTTATTTATTTATTTGAGAGAGAGAGAATGAGAGAGAGCACATGAGAGGGAGGAGGGTCAGAGGGAGAAGCAGACTCCCTGCCGAGCAGGGAGCCTGATGCGGGACTCGATCCCGGGACTCCAGGATCATGACCTGAGCCGAAGGCAGTCGCTTAACCAACTGAGCCACCCAGGCGCCCTGAACATTTCTTGACTGCATATGAATTTACGGTTCTTGGGTTTTTCCTGTGGACAGGTTGTAACAGTATCATGATTTTACCTTTTTTTTTTTTTTTTTAAATCATCATTTAATAATATCAGTTACCCCCCCTACACAACCTCACTTCGAATAAGCAACTTCAGGAAGTTCAGCATGCTGAAATATTTCATGTCAAATTTCTTAGAGTTCCAGCAACTGATTAACAACTCATTTGGTAAGGGGAAGCCCATAGTGAGATTTTCTTTTGTTATAAACAAGACAGCAGGCCCCAAATTGAATCACTTGTGCTAAGCTCATGTCACCAAAAAAGAGACTTAATTACTGTTTCAGCTCTCTCAGAAATGGAATGTTAAATTAGGAATTGTCAGATCAGCATTAGTTAGGTAATCTGCCTGAGAGACCCCTGCCATCCCCTAAAGAAAAGTAACCTGGCAATAACCAGTCTGCTTTTTTGCCTGCTAGGACTTCCTTGTTCACACTTCCTCTGGCTATAAAAGTCTTTTGTTTCGTAGAGCTCCTTTCTGTCTGCTAGATTGGATGCTGCCTGACTTGCTCAAATAAACTCTTCAAAAATTTTAATGTGCCTCAGTTTATCTTTTTAACAGGAGGAATTGGTGATGTTAGGGGCAGACATGAAAGGAGGAGGGTGCTGCTGATAAATGGCCCTGGGCACTAGGATAAAGTACAACTCTCCTGTGGTTCTCTTCAGTGCTGATGTTCTATAAAATGGGCATAGTACTTCCCTTGCACTCATGTTGTGAATTGATCTACAAAGTGGGCTAAAGAGGGAGTAAAATATGGTATTAATGAGTTTTGTTTTTTTTCTCTCCTTTTTTTTTTTTTGGCAGAATAACCAAGTGCTAGGAATTGGAAGTGGCTCTACAATTGTTCATGCTGTGCAGCGAATAGGTAAGCTCTTGGGCTATCTACTGGGTTTTCTGTGGGATGGTGGGGGGGGGAGGTGGGGGAGGGAGTGGGGTACAGGTTTGGCACCTGCCCAACTCTGCTCTGAGAGGTATTTTTGGGCCTCTTCAGCCACCTTTGGGGGATGCCTGGCTTTGTTTACTCTGCTCATCTGGAGGGGAGGAGCTGATTTAAGATGAGGTCTCAGTAGAATTTTAATTCTCAGTGGTCCTGTATGTGGCCCCAGGGGCCTTGAGGGGGGCCTTCTAAAGCCTTTGGGTTCCTCAGGCAATCTCAGACCGACAAACTGAGCTCAGTTGCCCTGTCCATGACCCTGGAGTGGATTTGAGGCCCCCCGAAGTTGGTGGCTGGTTCCTGCCGGTGCTGACTTCCTTCTGATTAGGGTGTCTCTGAGCTTACGAAAGGCTCAGGAATTATCAGCCCCTGTGGCTGTTCAACAGGTTTTACTGCCCTGCTTTTGTTTGTTAAAACAAAGCTCAGAGGGGAGGCTTGCCTGACTGCTGATTGCTTCTAGTGCCAAGGGGCAGTGCTCAGGAGACAAAGTCCAGGAATACTGTGTCTTTAAAAGAGTGATTGTGGTGCTGGCGTGAGGGCTTCTGGAATCCTCCTCATTGGCTTACCCCGGGCTTTAGTGTTGCATACCTTTCTCCCTTAGCATTGAGTGTGTGGGGGATTTTAGGGCACAGGGATTACTGTGGGGTTGAGTAGTGCCTTCTGAACCTCCCACGATGCAGACCCAATGATTAAAAAGACTTGAAATTTTAATAAGATAGTTGTTTCCTTAAGACTTTTTTTTTCCCCAGAAAGGTATAAATACAAAATGAGTAAGCCCACCCTCTGGGGCCTACAAATGATATTTTTTGCTAAATGTAAAAGTAAAGTTCTCTTTTTTTCTGTGAAAGGCAATGTAAGGAAGTAGTTAAGACGAGCTAGACTGTGTGGGATCATAGCTCAGCTCTGCCACCTTTTAGTGATATATCTATGCAGTGAACTTTAACCAGTCGGTGCCTCAGTTTCCTCATCTATAAAATGGGAATAATAATTGCAACTCACCTTTGGGTTGTTAGGATTAAAAGAGTTCACATGTACAAAGGTCTTTGAACATTGCCAGGTACATAATAGTAACAAACACGTGACATTGCTCTTTTTGTAGTTAGTGTTTACTCCTTGAGCTTTCTAGTGTCCCTGTCTTATGTGCGCGATGTATGTTCACAAGCTTTTTCACCGAGGCTGGGGACACAGAATGAAAGGCATCTGTCAGTGGGGGATAGACCTTTCCTTTCCTGTTGGATTTGAGGAAATGTGCATGTGACAAGAAACAAAGTGAGGAGAGTGAAAAACCACCAATACGGCTTTTGTCTCCACAGCTGAAAGAGTGAAACAAGAGAATCTGAACCTTGTCTGCATTCCCACCTCCTTCCAGGTATGTCCTGCTTTCCATTCCGCATCATGGCACTTGACTGCTGAATCTTCTGAGTCCCAGAGGAGATGGAGGTGTGGCTTTGGGTTGTGCACCAGGGTTGCTCTAGGTGAGAGAGCCAGGAGCAGGAGAGCAGATATTTACGGAGGATTGCTCCTCAGAAGTGTGGCTATAGATGCCTTCATGTATTCACTCAGTGAATATTTCAGTGTATTCTGTGTTAGGCATGGTGTAGTGTATGGGGAGTTTTAAAACTCTTAGCTGGTTGGACATTTGCTCCAGTATCTGGAAACTACATGCTTTTCTTGCTACTTAAAAACATTTTTCGGGCGCCTGGGTGGCTCAGATGGTTAAGCGTCTGCCTTCAGCTCAGGTCATGATCTCAGGGTCCTGGGATCGAGTCCCGCATCGGGCTCCCTGCTCCTTGGGAGCCTGCTTCTCCCTCTGCCTCTCTCTCTCTGTCTCTAATGAATAAATAAATAAAATCTTAAAAAAAAAAAAATTTAAAAAAAAAACATTTTTCAACTTGGTATAGTAATTCTCTACTGAATGGATGAATGGAAGATGGGTGTTTGCTTAGTTTTTACCTCCTTGCTGTCCCAGTTCACACACAGCCTTCTCTCCTTATGTTCCATACAGTTACATTTTGTTGAGGCGTTACTCAGTGTGTACAAAATCGTGATTGGCCAAACTCTGGCCCAGCCATGTAATGTGCTGTGATTACACCTCCTTACCTGCCTGTTATTTTCGTTTTCCTAAAAGTTAAGTAAATGTTGCCTTTGTTTTTTTCATTTGCTTGGTTGTCTGCATACTCCTTACTCATTCAACCCCAGACTCTACACAGATGGGAAAATCTCACTTCTTTTTGACACTTCTTTCTGGTTATTACACCCCACCCATTTCATCTTGGCCAAGTCTGTCTGGGTTGTTGGGGTTGGGAATGCTGTGGCAGGTGTACTTGGCTGTTGTCTTGGGGTCTCCCTTTGCAGTCAAGAACCTTCCTTCTCTTCTCTTTTGGATCATCCTCTTTCTTGGTCCTGTTTTTCCTCACCCCCAGCCTTTTGTTTTGTTTACTTCGGTTTTGGTGAAGCACATCCTTTAGGTAGCTATCCAAGTGTGTGGGATGCAAATTCGCAGACACTTTGGATACCTGAAAATGTCTTTATTCTAGCCTTTCTTGAAGTTGGTTATTTGATTTAGAGAAGTATATGTAAAATCATTTCTGAGGAATTTTGAAGGCATTTATCTATTGTCTCTGTTGTCCTAATTTTCACTTTGCTGTTGAGGAGCTTGATGCCATTCTGATTCTTGATCCTTTGTGTGAAACCTATTTTTAAATTTTATTTATTTGTTTTTAAAGCTCCAACATGGGGCTTGAACTCAGCGACCCTGAGGTCAAGACCTGAGCTGAGATCGAGTGGGACACTTACCAGACTAAGCCACCCAGGCGCCCCTGAAACCTATTTTTTTCACTTTCTGAACCTTTATATTCTTATATTAGCTTTTCTTCATGTCCGGTGTTCTGAAATTTCACCATGCTGTGTCTTAGTGTTGGTTTGTTTTCGTCCACATTGCTGGGCCCTTGCTGGGACATTTCATTCTGCAAACTCATACTCTTTGATTTGGGGGAGTTTTTTCCATTACTCCTTTAACTTTCTTGCCCCTATTTTCTCTGGTCTTTGTTTCTAGGATGCTTGTTGTATCCTTGGTGCTTGTGGCCTGTTTTGTCCTTTTATCTTCTTAGCTTTGTCTTTTCTAACCCTTCTATTGAGTTTATTTACTCTCATGTTTAATTTTAAATAAGATTTTGTTTTGTTTTGTTGTCTGAGGGTTTTTTGTTTGTTGTTTAATGGATTCAACTTTTTCAATTTCTTCCCTTGTCTCCATGAAGTTGTTAATGATAATTTTTTGTTTTAAGATTTTTTTCTCCTTATATATCTGTTTCCTCAAAGGTTTTTTTTTTTTTTTTTTTACAATTTGTTGGAATTATAATTTATGTACAGTAAAATTTACTCTTTTTTGCATATAATTCAGAGTTTTGACAACCAACCAACACAGTCAAAATATTTTTAGATTGCTTTGGTCATTTCTTATTCTGGCCTTCCTTCACTATCTGCTCATTTTGGACTAAGAGGCTGATTGGAAACTAGCTCATAGGATGAAGGTGGTCTTTGCTCCAGGCTTGTCTGCCAAGCCCTCTCGTTGGGGAACTCCTGATGTCAGATTATTTGTCTTCCGGCTGCTCAGCTTTCTCAGAGAAGTCTAGCCAATGCCCCTTTGGGAGAGGGTATGCATGGCTACCTGTGTGGTGGGATCCAAGTAGGGGAAAAGGGCTAGAAGACATCTGTCATTATTCCGGATATAATCTTGCTCTGAGTTTTCAGCAAAATACCTGTGGTAGTTGGGAAAGAAGTGTCTACAACATTCTGCAATGTTTCTTTGACTCTGGGCTTGATTGTGACTTGTTTTGCTGGTGGGATGTGACCAAATGGTCACATGGTATGCCAGCAGAGAATCGAAAAGTGCTTTTGCAGTGGGGCTTGGCTCATCTTGTGGCTGAAACCATTTTGCCACCATGTGAACAAACCCAGGCTGCTGTCCTGGAGGGTAAGAGGCCGAGCAGCTCCAGGCATGTGAGGCAAGTCATCCTACACCTACCAGCCCACTCCAGAGACTTCCCAGTCAGTCCATAGAATCATGACAATTAATATATAGTTGCTTTTTTTTTAATATATAATTTAAAAAATTAATTTTTAAAAATTTTAATTCCAGTGTAGTTAACATATGTAGTGTTATATTACTTTCAGGTGTACAAAATAGTGATTCATCAGTTCTACTCATTACTCAGTGCTCATCACTATAAGTGTACTATTAATCCCCTACCTATTTTACCCATCCCTGCCTCCCACCTCCCTTCTGATAACTACCAGTTTGTTCTCTATAGTTAAGAGTCTGTTTTTTGGTTTGTCTCTTTTTTTCTTTGTTTGTTTTGTTTCTTAAATTCCACATATGAGTGAAATCATATGGTATTTGTCTTTCTCTGACTGACTTCTTTCACTTAGCATCATACCCTCTAGATCCACCCATGTTGTTGCAAATGTCAAGATTTCTTTTTTTTTTTTTTATGGCTGAGTAATATTCGTGTGTGTGTGTGTGTACACATACCACATCTTTATCCATTCATTTATTGATGGACACTTGGGCTGATTCTGTAATTTGGCTATTGTAAATAATGCTGCACTAAATATACGGGCGCATATATTTTTTCAAATTAGTGTTTTCATATTCTTTGGGTAAATATCCGGTAGTGGAATTACTGGATCAGTGGTAGTTCTATTTTTAATTTTTGAGGAACCTCCATACTGTTTTTCACAGTGGCTGCACCAGTTTGCATTCCCACCAACAATGCATGAGGTTCCTTTTCCTCCACATCCTCACCAATACTTGGTGTTTCTTGTGTTTCTGATTTTAGCCATTCTGACAGGTGTGAGGTGATACCTCAGTGTAGTTTTGATTTGCATTTCTATGATGATGAGTGATGTGGAGCATCTTTTCTTGTGTCTGTTGGCTGTCTGGATGTCTTTGGAGAAATACCTGTTCAATATTCACTCTTTCAAGCCTCCAAGTTTTGGAGTAGCTGCTGTGTAGCGAGAGCTCACTGATGGAGTACCCCGGTCTTCAACTGTGCCTGTAGCCAGTCCTGAGATCTGCTGTTGGACTTTCTCCAGAGAATAAACATGCTGCTTTGGGAGTAGCGGAGAAAGAGAGAGAGAGCAGGTTCCTCAGTACCCTTTCAACCTTTCAACGAGTGTTCCCTCTTTTACTCCCACTGCTGTTTCTGCTTCCTGAAGTTTGCAGTGCCATGCAGCCCCGAATCTTTTGGGAGGTTCTTTCTGTGCTGTTTATTTGGTTGCTTCTTAGCTTCCTGCAGTACTGCCTTAGGATTTGTCTTTCTCATTTTTGCCAGTTACCATTGTCCATCAGTGGTCTCACTTTTTAAAGTTTGCTACTGTTTTCTCCTCTTTTTGTTTATGTGTTTTAGAAAATTTCCGTTATTACAGTTTTAAAGAGATTTTGGGAAAGAGCTGAGCCAAAGGGAGGTATTCAAATTGCTGTCTTTAAATGGAGGTTTAATTCTATGTTTTTAAAATAACATCCTCCTAACCCACCTGCATTTTATGGTAGTAAGTGATAACAGTGTACCCAGACTGGAAAATGCTGGCCAGTTTAGTAGATTCAGTGGAGGAGTCATTCACAGTTCACAGGGCTTTTTAAAAATTCAGTTGTTCAGAGTTACTGTTTTGTTTTTTTCCTGTCACACCCAAACTTATTTTGCATTAAGTTTAGCCAGATGCAGTCTTCTGAAATGATTGAAAAAGTCAAAATATTTCATGTTCTACCTTTTAAACAAGTAAACCCATAGGGATTTAAAGGATTTATTTTGGTAGATTTTTTCCTTAAAAGTTTTTGAAAGAGGACAATTTAAAAAAAACGTATTTAAAAGTCAGATCTGGTCTGAGCCAAAAACAGTGTTTATTTTTCACGTCCGCGTGCAGTGCACCTCAGTTAGGCGATAGAAGGGAAAAGACAAGCTTTCAGATTTTATTGTGAAATTTATGAATAACAGGATTGCTGGTCTGCCACATGCCGCTGTCCTTAGTCACCAGAGGCTTCTGGGGGCCCAGCTGTGGGATTGCAATGACAAGGCACTGGTTCCTGTCTTTTTTCCAAAAGCACAAGCTAGTCGTTAGCTTTACTGCTCCCTCCACTTTCAAGAGCTGGAAGAGGCAGATGGGGGTGTTTGCTCTGCACCTTCAGGAGACCCCTAACCCTGTGAGCTCAAGAGTGTCTGGTACCCAGCGGATGCTAATCTTAGTCAAGAACCTGTGGCTGAATTTGGGCTGAATGAGCCGGTATTGGCTTGGTAGCCCCACAATTGGGCCGCTGTGTTGAAGTTAGCATATTGGTTTCTGAGGGCTACCATGACAAGGTACCATAAACTGAGTGTGGCTTAAAAACCAGAAATTTATTGTCTCAGTTCTGAAGGCTAGCAATCTGAGATCAAGGACTCTGAGATCAAGTGCAAGATGAAGGAGAATCTGTGGTGTGCCTTTCTCCTAGCTTCTGGTGGTTTCCTGGCTGTCTTTGGCGGTGCTTGGCTTGTAGGTGCATAGTCCTGATCTTTGCCTTCATGTTCACATGGCGTTCTCCCTGTGTTCATTTGTCTGGTCCAGATTTCCCCTTCTAGGGACACTAGTCATATTCGATCAGGGCTTAGCCCAATTACTTTGTTTTAACTTGATTACATCTGTGAAGACCCTATCTCCAGATAAGGTCACATTCTGAAGTACTGGGGGTTAGGACTCCAACCTGTTTTTGTTTGTTTGTTTGTTTTTTCAGGGGAACACAGTTCAGCACATTACAGGAAGAATGAAGCTCGTGCCATTTGTGACTCTGACTTCTGTGTGTGTGCAGGGCCACTCACAGGGGTCCTGTGGGGAGTCTAGTCAAAGATGAAAAGGGAGGGTTGTAGGACTTGCAGATGGGGAACAGGTTAGAGGGTCCTACCCTGATGGCAGGGTTCTCCACGTTGTGGATGGGGATGCAGATTGTTTAAAGCAAGAGCAGATTCTGTCTTTGTGTTATTGCTTGTTGTCCAGGAAGACAAGTGTCCCAGGGCTTGTGGAAGTTGGCAGGGCCTCCCAGCCATACCACATAGACAGCAGTTCTCTACTGGGCTCTTTTCATGTGCCACACTCTGGGCGGCAACTGGGATGGGTTGGCTCCTGGTGCTGGTGAGGAGGCAGAATTCAGTTGGGCATAGTGATCATTGAGGGTATACTTACTGTTATAGGGATATGAGGCTTCTATGCATGGGAGGTGTTACTCACCATCTCCAGTGTCCAGTGGGTTGTCTGGCTCTTAGGCTCTTTGTATGTGTTTGTTGGATGAATTAATGCTACATTTATGTGTGTCATTATTTACAAATAGAAAAGTAGAGATAATGTGTGTTTTAGAGGAAGGAGATCCTACTCCTTGCCCAGGGAACTGGGGAGGGCTTCCTGGAAAGGATAACATTTGAGTTGGGCATGTGGGGCTGGGTTGGGAGAAGGCAGGCCATTTCAGGGAGAGGAGGAATGCCAAGACCTCAAAGAACTCCTTTTAATATTGTTACTGTTAATAACGTGTTATTATAGGGGTGCCTGGGTGGCTCAGTTGGTTAAGTGACTGCCTTCGGCTCAGGTCATGATCCTGGAGTCCCACATCGGGCTCCCTGCTCGGCGGGGAGTCTGCTTCTCCCTCTGACCCTCCTCCCTCTCGTGCTCTCTGTCTCTCATTCTCTCTCTCTCAAATAGATAAATAAAATCTTTAAAAAAAAAAAAATAACGTGTTATTATATAAGATGACTTCAGTTCCATTTGTAAATGGACCTGTATTCTCTGCTTCTTGTTCTTTTACCATTCTCTCTGTTTTCCTTTTCTTCTAATTCCCTTCTTAGTCCCTAGGCAGGACAGGAAGGCAGGAGACTGTATTTCTGGTCTTTACTCTGTCCCTAACTTACCACTGTGACCTCTCTGGGCATCCATTTCTTTCTTTAAACAGGGGTTTGTACTAGGTGACTCCTTCTACAATGAATTCAAAATAATTGGTTATTTACCCAACTATTACCTCAAATGATGCTAACTGCTGTAAGGTAACAAGAGTATATAAAGTGTGCTCTCTCATACTCTGATTACGGTCCAGATTGACAAATGAGACATCCTCATGAAACAGTAACACTGTCCAGTGGTGCAAGCAGTCTTTGAACTTAGGAAGTGTTAAAATGATCAATTTACATAGGATTTTTTCCTTAGGAATCCTGACATCTAGTTTTCATGTAATATATCTGAATGCGGTTTAGTATTGTTTTTAAAGTACATAAAATTAATAGGAAACCATAGTACATCACACAGTTTTGTATGGTAGACTATTGCATTGAACTCTGTACAGTTTGTATCATTTTTCTAACACCCATCTGTATTCAATATCTTGTTGCTGTGGAACAGATTACCCCCAAATTTAGCAGCTTAAAACAACAAATATTTATTATCGCATAGTTTCCAAGGGTCAGGAATCCAGAGTGGTTTGGCTGGGTGGGTCACTGCAGAGGTTACAGTTAAGTTGTTGGCCAGGGCTGGGTCATCTCAAGACTCAACTGTGGTTCAGGGATTCACTTCCAAGCTCAGTCACGTGGGTGTTGCCCTAATTCTTCACAGGCTGTTTGGTAGAGAGCTCTGTCGGTGTCTCCAGGACATGGCAGCTGATTTCCCCTGGCATGTGTGATAAGAGAGGGGGCAGAGGGAAGAGGGAGATTAGGAGGGAAGGATCTTGCTAGAGCATGCCACCCTTACATACCCCATGGCATTCTTTATAAACTAATCTCAGAAGTACCTTACATCACCTCTGCTGTGTGCCATTGGTCACACAGAGCAATCCTGGGACTTTGTGGACAGGGATTATCCAAAGGCATGAATACCAGGAGGTGGGGATGGTCATCTTGGAGGCTGCCTTCCAGACATTCCCATTGTTAAGCTTCAGGATCTGGAATTAGGATGGTTTCTCCAGTACTACTTTTGGAGAAATCTAGGAACTGAGAAGTAATTCTGTGATACCATTTTTTAAAATTTACTTATTTATTTGAGAGAGAGAGGCCGAGCGCGTATGAGCGGGGGGGAGAGGAGTGAGGGAAGGGCAGAGGGACAGGGAGAAGTAGACTCCCTGCTGAGCAGGGAGCCTGATGATGCCACTCAGAGCTCAATCCCAGGATCCCGGGATCATGACCTGAGCCGAAGGCGGACACTTAACCAACTGAGCCACCTAGGCACCCCTGCAATACCATTTTTATTGTTTTCTCCCTTCATTATATATTTCTCTTTAATAAGAACAAAATCATGTATTTTTTTTTTTTACAATTTGATATTTTCAGTCAAAATTTAATTTAGCTTTTTATGTGGAAATTTTCACACTTCAAAAAGGATAAAGAACAGCACAATGAACTTTCATGTACCCATCACCCAGTTTCAGTAATCACTAATTCATGGACAATTTTGTTTTCATCTGTATCCCATTCTCCTCTACCTCGGTTATTTTGAAAGAAATCCCAGTTATAATTTGATTATATGTATTTCATTATGTCTCTTTGAAAAATAGGGAGGCTTTTAAACATCTCAGTAATACCAAAACATTTAACAATAATCTTCGGTAACATAAAAACAAACCCAGGGTTCAAATTTTCCGTATTGTCTTATCCTTTGAAAGTAATTTTTATAGTTTGTTTGAATTAGGATCCCAACAACACCTGTATATTGCAAATTCCAGGATCTTTGTGTTTTCTTCTAAGAAACTTAGGATTTGGGATTTGAAGATTGACATTGGTCATTTCATTCATCTCCATCTTTCTATAGATGAGAAAACTTGCCAAGGGTCATGTGGCTGGTTCATTTAAGATTAGAGCTGAGATTTTCTGATTTTTAATCTTGGGTGCTTTCCATTTTAAGCAGAAAGTATTTTAAGACATGCCTTTGGGGGACACCTGGGTGGCTCAGTCGGTTAAGTGTCTGCCTTCAGTTCAGGTCATGATCCCAGGGTCCTGGGATCCAATCCCACATTGGGCTCCTTGCTCAGGGAGGAGCCTGCTATCCCCCCTGCTTATGCTCTCTCTCTCTTTTCTCTTACAAATAAATAAATAAAAATCTTAAAAAAAAAAAAGACATGCCTTTGGAAGAGTTTTCCATCCTTTGATTCCTCTGTGTATTTTAGGCATTGACATGAATACAGATCCTTATCATCTGGATTTGGTTGGTCCAAGGTCTATTTATTCTAGCTGTCAGTCCGCTCAGGGCCACATGGTGGCAGTAACCACACCACCTCTCCCCTTTGGTCAGCCCCTTTGAAAGGTTAAGGTTAATATGAAGCGTATCTCTAAAGTAAATCCTAAGTCTTTCCCAGTGTGGTGTTCTCAATTTGCTGAGCTCCTCACTTAGCCATTCTGGACATCCTGCCTTTGATACATTCTGCTGAGTCTGTATATTCTTTTGCTTATTTTTATTCAACATGATTGCCTGGAGATCACTTTGTATCAACTCAGTTCTTATTTTAGGAAGGTTTTTTTTTTTTTTTTTAAATACTGTACTACCATAAGCTTTAGGAGTCCATGGCATTGTCTTAAATAGCAGGTCACGGAGAAGGAACTCTTAGCCTGGCCCTGGGAGTCTTCACTATATGCTCTTTGCCTCCTTCTGGCTCCCAGGATGAATTAACTTAGTTTTGCCATTCATGGAGCTATAGCTCCTACCTCTTAGTAGGCCCAGTTGGATTTGGGAGGGGACTTGGTCAGGACTCCGTGTCAAACACTTAAATCCAGAAGAATGCTGAGAATCTTTGCCACGCGCTCAGAGTAAATGAGTATGGGTGTTTTTTCTTGTTCTCCACAGGCCCGTCAGCTCATCTTGCAGTATGGCTTAACTCTCAGTGACCTGGACCGACACCCAGAGGTAAGAGAGAGAGGGGCCGCTGTGTCTTTCTGTCTCCTTTTTTACGGCTGTCACTTGCGCATGGACTCTGGATATCTTGTTCAGTCTAGTAGAAAGGTCAGTGAGTCATATTAGGTTTTTTCCTGGGATTTTGAATATTAAATTTGGCTAAGGTCACGAGGGGAGAGGTTGTTAGTTTCCAGTACATTCCCTGTGGTTTAACCCTGAGGGCTCAGTATGGGCGTAGTGAAGGGGGATTGAACCCAGAGCTTCCTGTGGTCCTTGTTCAGAAGTAGAAGAGTGAGCCGGCCCACGGAGCTTACCAGTAAGTGGAGATAAGAAGTAATTATCTGAGGCAGCCATGGACATTTGGAAACAGATTACAATGAAGTGTTATGGCAAAGATGGTTGAACACATGGGCAATCCAGAGGAGACTGTGGTTGATGAGGGTGAGCAGCATACTCATAGCTAGCATTTACTGAGCCCTTCTGTGTACTGTGTGTTATGCCAAGGGCTAGGTGTGTATTCAGCTCCTTAATCTCCAGTAGTCTTGAGGGCGCATACCATCATCATCCCACCTTACAGGTGTGAAAAAGACACAGAGAGGGCAAGCCATTTGCCAAAGCCACGCTCCCTGTAACTGGTAGAGCCTGAATATGAATTCAGATGCCTCTGGTGCTGGAGCAGTGCTACTTAGAAGGGTTTGTGGGGAGAGGTAATCTGTGAAGAAGAAGAAACTTGAGCAGAACTCTGAAGACAGGGTGGCCAGGGGAGGAGCGAGCATTCCAGAGGGTACTGACCTGGTCTACTAACCTGTGTCGTCCTGGTACATGTGGGCCTCAGAAGGGTGAGTCAGAACCACAGGAGGGGCTCGTTTGGGGGACTTCTGTGGGCAGAGCCAGGGGCAGAGTGTCAATCAGTGTTCAGCACTGTGAGGAGAGTGGTTTGGGCTGAAAGTGGGCCTGGAACCCACACAAAGAAGGTTGCAGCCTTCCGGGCCCCAGAGAGTTGCCATCGTGTAGCCTGGCCCCAGGGTTAGTTCAGGGCGGGGAGAAGCAGTGCAGGCTGTCTCTTCAGACCAAGGGCAGTCTCCATGAAAGGATGGAAGCACAGTGAAGCTGAAGCTCAGTACACTTAATTTACACCTGTGCCATGCCAAGCAACTTGAACTGAATTGTACCCTGAGGTTTTTTCATACTGCTGTTTTAAATAACCATACTTAAGGCTCCCACATTGCCATGCAGAGTCCAGGAGCTTCCTTGGTTTCAGATCTTGAAAGATGAATGAACCTGTTTACTCCTGACTGCTCTTGGGGTTGGTAGTGCAATTTCCTAACAGTGGGAGTGGGCAAGCCCAGACAGGTGCTTTGGTAGGGTCATAGTGGGGGTGCCTCGGATAATTTCCAATCGAAGATCACGTCAAATGTGCATCAGCTTTATAACTCTTCATTGGGTTTTCTCTGTCTGCTCAAAACTTCCTTTCTTTTTGCCACATTAGTATGGAGACTTCTGAATCAGGGTTTCTCAGCCTTTTTTCTGTTGCCCACCCCCCCCAGTGAAATTTTTTTTTTTTTCCCCAGTATTTTATTTGACAGAAACACAGCGAGAGAGGGAACACAAGTAGGGGAGAGGGAGAAGCAGGCTTCCCGCTGAGCAGGGAGCCCCATGTGGGGCTCGATCCCAGGACCCCGGGATCATGACCCAGGCCGAAGGCAGACGCTTAACGACTGAGCCACCCAGGCGCCCCCCCAGTGAAATTTTAATACCATAGATGTACTATGTATCTTTTCTGTACTTGGGGGTGATGTCACCCACATTGGGATTGTGTATTCAGTAATTCCAGCTCCTCCACAGAGAAGCCCATCAATGAGAAAAGGGAGTGTAATGTCATGGATAAGAGCTGCACCCAGGTGTGGTTTCCAGACCCCATATTTCTTTCCTGGTGACCCTAGTGGAATAGCCTAACCTCCTGGAGCCTGTTTTTTGACTGCTTAAATGGGAATAACTATACCTAGCTAATAGGGCTGCTAAACATCTGATGAGTTATTACATGTTCAAGCTTTGCACAGAGTCTCTTAGTAGTTTTGTATCTTCCCTCCCTCCCTCCCCCCCTCC